TACATTTCGTGAGCGTATTTTACATTAAATCGCCAAAAGTCTATCGTTTCAGCTGCTGCGTCAATTTCAGCTTGCCTGATTGTAAACAGAAAGAAATTTTATTAATGAATTTTAGAGGTAATTTTGTTACAACTTACCATGCATTCTTGCCTTGTCCGAGCATTGTAGCAGCCAAAAGTTTATAACGGTATTTACCAGCCGCCAAATCAGCAGCTTTCAAGAAGATAGCCGATCTATCGGCTATTGGATAAGCTTCCCAAATAGGCTTAATAGCCAGTGCCCCTTCGATGGCTTCTTTGACAACTGATGGATCGGCTTCGTGATATTTCGCTAATATGGAAATATGATCTGACGGATTCCTTTGTTCTGCTATCTTTCCAGTGTAAACCTATCATCACGACAGACAAATAATTTAACATGGTGCTTAAATAATTAACCATGAGGAAAAAAAAAATCATTATTTACAGATTACCTCTTTTCCATTAACGAAAACGGGAATTTCGACCGGCGCATCATTTCGAAGTTCCTTTAATGCAGTTTGAAGCTTTACGCGATCCTCGCTAGCTGGTGGATAACTTTTCTACTGACCCAATCAAGAAAAAATAAAATAAAATAAAATAAACGAAGAATATATATTCCAAGGATTTTACAATAAAGAAAATTCTGATCTTGATGGTGATTAATGAACACAATACCATAGGCTCATTATCTATATCAGGTAGCCTGAAGGTGCCTAATGTAGCGGGAGACCATTTTGATAAGAAGCGTCTATTGATTTGGGCAAATTTTGAAGAACTCGTAATCAAAGAAACACGACGTAAAGACTTTAACATTATTATTATATCATTATTACGATAACCATTCAAAAACATCGCGTTTATAAATTCGATGATCGTTCCTAGTACACCAACAAGCTCATATTGTTCAGGAGAGTGTCATGCCTAAATTATGTAATGTAATTATGTATTAATATTGTTTCCCAAAGAAGAACCAAAAAAGGTTACACTAGTAAATGCATGAGAACAGTTCAATCTTTTCCGAACCAAAAATGAATTAGAATGAACCCATTGCTCATGTTGGGTATTCCCTTATTACGTATATGACATTATTTTGTAATTAGTAATTAAAAAGTTCATAGTGAACGGATTAATTGCAATAAAAAATGCCATTGGTCAACAGTTCATGCATCGACGCGACATTAAGGTTTA